CGCGCGTCCTGCAAGAGCACATGCAAGTGCGTGCCGAGGACGACCAGCGGCTCTTGCGGCGCGTCAAGTGGGTGCTCTCGCGCCTGGACCTCAACTACAACTACGACGAGGTCCGTTGGACACCAGGGATTGTCGTGTGAGATTTCTTATGGCTGTAGTATCACGAGTCGCTGCTGGGGGCACCGTTGCACGAGTCGACCGTGCCGTACTTGGCGCAAATGAACCAGATGTACGCACTCTTCGAGTTCCTTCGGTCGGGCGAGACGGCGTCGCTCCTCGAGGAGAACGTGCCGATGACAAAGGACGAGGTGCCTCTGGGCCCGTCGCTGCTCGTACCCTCGGACGTGGCGCCCGAGGGCGTCGTCCGGCGCCCCAACCTCATTGCATCCGACGGCATGTGGCACAAGTTTGTGCAAAACGTCGCGCAAAAGTTCCCGCCCAAGCGCCACGTGCCCATCCAAGTGCGATAGTTCAATGGCTTTTGCAGTTGTAAATGCCGTGTGTAGGACCGCATCATCAGCTACGCGCTCAACCGCGACGAAGCCAAGCGGATCGCGGCCTTCAACGAAGACAAACCGACCATCTACAGGTACAGTGGAGCAGCAGCTATCAATCTCATATTGGAGCAGACGTGTGTACGCCGCGATGAAGCCCAACGAGACGGACGACGTGGACGAAGCCAATGATAGCGAGACGGTGTAACCATTCCGTCGAACCCGTATATGGAGCGTTGCTCGTCTTCAATATGGTTGTGTATGGATTTGGTTCCATATACACACAAGATGTTCGCTAAAATTGAGTCCAGCCCGAAACACCCCGCATGATTGTGTTTCAAGGAATGACACACGCAAATCCATGGATACACGTCTTGCAATATAGCGCACGCCAGTGTAGCGTCTGAAACGAATGCAATTATGTAAGGCGGCGAGAACGTTTTGTCTTTAAAGTTGTATGGTGAGGGTGGATGAGGCCAGAATTGCCCAGCACCTTCAAAGAGACTCAGCCAACGTTGGTTGCAACATGCTGTGACGAAAGATGTATGTTACATTTATCGATCATCTTTCCATGATGCGAAGGCAACCCTCAACCGTGTAAGGCCAGTGGTATGTACCTGTAGGACGACTGCAGTCGGCGTGCGGTGTATATGGATTAAAATATCCATAGCATCCATGTTCTAAATCCCAGAAGCAAGTGATGATCGACACCAGACTTTGGCGGGTCCAACTACGCCCGCGTCAAGCGGCAGGGCCATCGCAAATACAACGAGTAGCTCTATCAGTTCTGATATGGAGGATACCAAGGCATTACAGCAGTCCCCTATCATTCTGGCCGGACAGATCAAATTGAGTGGCAAGGACTTGGCCCTCGATCGTAGTTTTGATTTTGCAACGCCATGCTCCAGTCTCTCTTGACGTTGGTCGCTGCGGGTCTTACGGCTGCCGTCGCGGCGCCGTCCGCGGTTCTTCCGAGCGCCTGCTACTCGCCCTTTCACCTCGATGTGTACCCGCTCAACGACCCGAGTCTCTTCAACTACACCACGCTCAGCACCGGTATGCACGACGACTTTGCGCTCATGCAGCCGCTCGTCCACGCTGTGCGGACGTACTACTCGTCGTACTATGGCGTCGACGTGACGCCGATCGCCGCGGCCCACAACGTCTCGCTCTATCTCGGTGTCTACATGACGTCCGAGGCCTGGTACAGCCACCAAGTCGAGGCTGCGATCGTGGGGGCCGTCAACTACCCGGCGACCGTCAAGGCGATTCTTGTTGGCAATGAAAACGTCGTGCCGTACGGTAACTACACCACGTCGTACATCACGAGCCAGATGCAGTACATCAAGTCCGAGGTTGCCCGGCGCTCGAACGGGACCGTCAACGTCCAGGTCGGGACCGTCCAACGCGTCTCCGAGTGGCTCAACGCCGATATCCGAGCCAATATGGTGGCGCTGGCGAATGCGTCGGACGTCATCGGCGTCAACATCTACCCGTTCTTCAGTAGCGGGTACGACGTCAACAAGCCGGTAGCGATCCTCGACGCTCTCTGGAACGAGATGCTCAAGGTGTACCCAGCATCAAAGCTGCGGCTGACGGAGACGGGGTACGCCACGGCCGGCAACAACCTCACGACGGTGACGCCAACCGTGGTGCCCAGCCTCGCGAGCGCAATGGGCTTCTACAACGGCCTCGTTCAGTGGTCGCCGGCGGCTGGCGGCGGCGAAGCGTTTTGGTTCACGTTCTTTGATCTGCGCGCGGACGACAAGACGCAACTCGAGCCGTTTGAGACGTACTTTGGCTACTACACGGCCAAGGGGCAGCCAAAAGCAGCCAATTTTCCCGTCGCCGTAAACCCAGTTTACATCCCGCCGACGCCAACGCCGACACCAACGCCGACGCCCACGCAGACACCGACACCGACACCAACACCGACGCCCACGCCGACACCAACGCCGACGCCCACGCAGACACCGACGCCCACGCCGACACCCACGCCTACGCCGACAC